AAAAGTAACGTACATTGCAGCCCGCTTTTCGCTGCATAGACTAGTTAGTATATTATTATGTACTGCTAATCGCCCTAGAGTTAATTGTCCTACTGTATAGATTTATCATGTCCGCGCGTTACTATTAATACTCAGGGTGCAGTAATAACGTTGATATCCCGTATTATGAAACATTTGGAAAGGAGTTGAGATGAGATGAGATCCCGTGACGCCACACAGATGTCAGAGCAGAGGTCGACGTTAATAGCAGCAGCAGCGAGGAGCAAGGTTCTTCTTCTCTGACAATGCCGGTCTAACGCCAATGACACCAACAATTCGCCCTCCCCCCCCCCTCCTCTGCAAACATGCACGTCCAGCCCCCCCCCCCTCAGCGCCTGGAGCGTACCGCGGTCCCCAACGTCAAGATAATCATAATCCATTGGGCCGTCATATCTATATGCAGTTATTCGCATCACCATAAAATGTCCAAGTCCCACATGCGAAATGCTCATCAAGACCAAACTTGATGTGCTACCATCGAACTCGGGATATGAAAGGGAGAAAACCACGGTCCCGATAGCTTCATCTCTGTTGTACTGAATGTCTCTAGTCTCGGTGGGAGCCTATCCTGTCTTGAGGGAATCTTCAAAGCAGGATGACCATCCCGTCCCGTCTGCAAGGTTGTACAACCTCGATGATTTGGGCTCGGGGATTTCTGACACTTTTCAATTGGATAACTGGAGACCTCTATTCAGTGCCACGTCTGGCCATTATAAGGCCCTCGAGTCCCGCCTTCACGTTCTTCGATATTACCATGGAACCGCTTACAAATGATACTACTACTACTACTACTACTACTACTAACCGCTTGTGCCATTTTCTTTGATGCTTGCATTGGAGCCTGGATGTCGTGGTGTGTATACGTCCACTTAGGCTGCCACACACATGGTCTAAGATACATCCTCATACTCTTCTAGATCAACCCTTAAAGACACCTTGAATCACTCCTTCATCCTAATTCATCAACACAACAACTCGTTATGTGGCATCAACCTGGCATATTGCATTCAATGCTGGCTTGTGCGCCTTCGCTTATCATGGGCAAAGGCAAGTCATGATGATGATTCGAAATCGAAATCCGCAGAGCAAAAATTCGGGTACGTATCCTAAGGGCTCTACATATTTAGGACGGGGCAGCACCATTACCGCCACCCATACCTCCACTGCTACTGGTATCAGACATCACACCGCCAGGCATCCTCGGTCAGGGTACCAGCGGCCAATGTGGTGTAGCTCGACGAGAGGTCGATAGCCATGGAACCCCAGCTGCAAGGATGAACATCAGTGAGAAACTTACCGACAAAACGTGGTGTTGTTCAGAATGGACTTTGGGGCAAAGATGGATGGATACATTTACATATTAAGTTCGAGCGACAAACAGTTCTGGAAAACACGGTATGAGATGAATGTCATGTGGTTCCATCTTGGGAGGCCGAGTGTCAGACGTTGAAAGGTGCTGATATCTGAATTGACTGGAAGATAATTGTGTGGATTTCCCTGTGACTGGTTGGAAATTTCAAAAAAATGAGGAAATTCTGCGTTGAGATTGCCTAACCTACGATGTATTGATTGGATAATGTGCAAGTGCTTTGGTGTGGAATAGCAGCAGTTTCATTTCGAATCGCTTTTATGCCTCCAGTGAAAGGTATATTGAAGGGACTGCACGAGATAAAGCCATGTGGACCAGAAATTAAGCCTTTCAAAACCTCTGCAATCGGTCGAGCGGACTGCTTAAAGTGTCGATATAAGCGGGTATTATGCCTGGATGGCATGCTGTGGTTGCCATTCAGAAGCAAGTAATTGAAGGAAACGTGCCGCAGCTGGCGTGACCCTTCAAGGAGGATGCTCAAGCTGAGAAAGCTGGACAATTCTGTATGGTCTGGAGAGATCGATGAGTAGGAATGAGAAGGTATCCCAGCCCTAGTCGTACTGTCGAACAAGTGGAAAGTTTCAGCTGGGCTCTAGCTCGCATATAGGCGGATTCGTTTCGGGAACAGTGGGATATGAGATGATGGAGGTTTTGAGGTGAGTCGAATGTATCTTTTGCAAGATGTAGAACCGGAAAGTCGGAGGACTGAGAAAAATGATATTGGTGAGTTTGATGGGAGGAGGCACAGGAGACCAGAGAGCAGGGTTTTAGGGGATCATTCAGCTAGTCAATGATTGCATCTATGAGTTGTTGGGGAATGCTGGCAGACATTGGTTTGGGAAATATTAAGTAGGAAAGGAGTGAATTGATGTTCATGCTGATCATGTTCCGCAGACACGGAAATGTCCGTGGGAATTGCGTGACCAAGAACGTAAAAATACTGGTCATTCGCGCCAGAATAGGACTGAAAGAAGTGAAAGCGACTGGCCCACTATGATGTATCAGGAAACATGATAGAGATGTCAGGTATGAATATTCGGTGAAACGATTGTTGAGCCTCTTAACAACTACAAATCCAGTATCTCTCTGATCACGGTTTTCATCTTAATTCTCATTGGTGATCATCCTTGTGAAGATCATTACCGACTCAGCCGATGGAAGGCGATATCGGACGTCCATTTGGCAGATTGATATTTCCGTAATAAGCCAGTTAAGCGCTGCACTTGTAGGCTTTAAAGGCCGTATTCTTATTTTATTCTATTCTATTTTTTCGTGAGGGCTATTGCAGCGACACAGTCGCTTTCAACGTGCAGGGGGTCTCCAGGAATTTAAACCTGGGGAACAGACCGGGTAGAAATGCATTTTACGCACGAACGGCACCTCTGCCGAACAGTGTGGGATTCAACCGCATGGCCCCTTAAAACGCGCTATTCTGACTCATCATTCCTCCTTTTTACCATCATCTTGATATGTACAACTCTTCGAGGTAAGCTCTTCTACCCTACTCTTTCTATCATTGCTTGACATCGTATTGCAACAGAGTATGGTCTCCTCCACCGCCAAGCTACCGTACGGTTCGGAATGAAGAAGCAGGTGCTTTAGTGCACTCTCTTTCGTATACCGGCGCTTATTAGAACTTTACCAGGTCTTAGTGATGAACGCACCCCGCTGAAGCCACTAGCTACACGTGGAAAGCGTTTGGCTACGCTCAAAGTCCTGGCATTCATCTTCGTCGTGGCACTTCTTGCCTTCCACCTCGTTAGTGACTATACCAATACCAACCGTACAGACGTCCAAGACCGTATACGCCGTCGCGAGGATATGGAACGAGCAAAGAGAATCGAAGGTGAGGAATTACGGAGGAAGCTTGCGCATCAGCAGGAGGATAAGAAGAGGCGACTGGCCTATGAGGAGGAGGACAAGAGGAGGAAAGTGGAGAGGGAGAGAGAAGAAAGGACAATCCAGGCCAGACTGGTTGCTGTGGCCCGTAGAGAGGATGCCGTCTGGGCTAAAGAGGATGCAATACTCGCTGACGAGGAGCGTAGGAAGCGCGCAGAGCTGGTATGGTGGGATTTGACGTCGGAGAAGCGATGTTTGGGGTATGAGAAGAGGATGTATCATGCGGAACTGTTGAATGTACCAGCCAGCGAGGATGCTCATGGCTGGTGCATGAAGACAAGCATCGATATCCACGGTATCACATATGATCATCCAGAACTTTGCACCTCGGAACTGATAGTGCGTTCTCTTCTGGGTTCTCTTATTGGTATTACACAGTCATTTTGTTTTTCGACAGGATGGAGCTGTGAAGACCATTGGGCATTGGACTGTCAGCTCCAACGAGCCGACATGTAAGACTTGGTGGGGGGATCATAAGAAGAAGGTGAGCGTCCGTCTATGTCATACTGTTGATTCGTGTACGTGCTCATCACGGTCAATTAGGATTGCTTTGGCGCTCATAAACGGGTACGCCACATCACTGTTTTGGTTGCTCAACATTGGGCTGAAGTGACGCGATCGTTGTAGCGGGTTGAAGCAAAGTTGTTCAACCATCAAGAGCCTTGGGACAACTGGGCTGAGATGTGTTTCTCTACTCCGTCCGAGTTCGCCTGGCAGAAGTTTGACCACCCTGATACGTGTGAGAATAAGGTCAGTTGGCGGGCTGGGTTGTGCCGAAAATGTCGCACTGACATCTTAATAGGGAAGGGATGGTATCGTAGGTAGCTGGTTTATCGAGGTCGATGAGAGCGAGTGTCCGTGAAAGATTGTCAGTATACATGTTCGAACGTTTTCTTTGCTTTTGTAATGTTTTCTAGCTATGAATTGATATAAAGTGTATGTATTGCCTACTTTTGCAGCGAACACCTTGACGCCCATTATTGTGACTTTTGCATCACCCAGACATTCCACCTCGTCCCGAATTGAGACCAGAAATTCACCATGTGACTATGGACTTTCTTTGGATGGCGTTTTCACTGATGACATCTTTCAGTCGTGTCGCTTAGACCCGTTCCGTTCAAATATGACATATACACTCTGCACACAGCCATGACCGAAAAATCGGGCAGATCAACCATCCACATTACGACTTGGGACCATAGAGCCACGATACTGTTTGTGCAGTCGCTACACCCCTAGATTTTCTTCTGCTTGTATGTGGCAGGAGTAGTGGCAGTCAATGAGGACGGAATTTATTGGATGGCGACGCAAGAATTAGAGGACCTCGGATGAGGAAATGGCGATTGAAGTGATACAATGCAGAGATGTTGAGGGTATCGAGGTGTGCGAAGTTATTCGGACAAGACAAAGCGGGCTAACGAAGGTCTGATTATTACCTGATGTGCCAACTGTGACGACCGATGGATGCGGCTTTCAGTACGGCTGACCAAAGTCGTCGTGGACTTAACGTCTGGAAAGAATCGATGAGATGAGAATTATTCCAGGAGCTACTAAATCACAAATACTGAGGTGATGATGTTATCAATTCCTTCCAGCTACAAAAGCGTAACACCTGTTTCTCTCAGTCTTTTCCTTGGGCATCCTCGATCGCGGTTCGCTAAAGTTGTAGAACATGTAGGATGGAGCTGATCTGGTGGTGTGACGATGCCCCTTGTTCATGTTCGACAAAGCGGTCAATATTATATGGTGCCAAATCTCAGCATGCTCCTTTTGCCCTCCACGTCTGTTCAAAATCTGGCATGCACCTTGGATTTGGCCTTACAGTAGATCCATTTGTGCATTTCCTGTCATGCAGGGCTCTTCTTTCTCTCTGCACGACTGCAACCAGAACACTTCATTGATTGCCATGCAACAGTCTCAAGTTCCGCCACCTCAACTTCATCCCGATAACTATTCGCTCATCTGATATATACAATTTGGGGACCAATAAATCCTACAATATGGGCCCATATGGGTGCACTGTTCCGATATCTGGGTGTGCAGATGGATCGGCACCTGAGTCTATGGTACACATGGATTGTTGTCAGTGCTTGTATGGAACTGTTACATAGAGGAAGGATTTGATACAGACATGCCCTTGAGAACGAAAAGTGTAGCTGGTGAAAGAGGGTCCCCCAATCCCATTCTGTGAGTCCTAACTCTTGTAACTGCGGTGCAAAATGGAACGCTTTGATCATGGCTATCGGCTCGGTGTCTGTGTCTGGTTCACCATGTAGGAACACAGAAAGCGAAGTAAGGGAACTCAGTGAACCGGAAACGTTGTTGAAAATGCGGAATGCAGAGAAGGGAAGACCGATGGAGAGTGTTTTCCAGCGGGGAGAGGTGGAGAGAATTATAGGAAGAATGGGATGGCCGGATGTATCCTCACTACTCTCGATAGCGACAGTGAGGTGGTGTGTACCGGACCTTTCCAAATATGTTCCGAGACGGAATAATGAACGCATGTGGCCCTGGTATCTGTGAAGTTGGAGCCGGATGAGTGACCAGAGACTAGGTGTAGTCAAAGCAGCTTGTCGCCATCGAGATGAGACATAGGATAAGTTCCACGGAGAATTCGTGATGTTGAGGGAGTCCAGCAATGAAGCATCCGTGTCGCTATCACTGTCCGGACGGATACATGAAAGAAACGTGTGGCTCAAAATCTCAGGGGGTAAACGACGGATGGGATTAAAGACCAATTTCGAGTCGGCAATGTGCTCGACTGCTCGGTTCTGCTCTTTCAAGAGTGAGCTGAGGATACTCCGGGTTTGTGATATGCGTTGCTGGAGGAAGGCCAAATACTGCTCTCCCTCACGGATAACGGCTTCTAGTTCCGCACGTTCGGCACATACGGGAGCGTCATTACAGGCAAAAAAATCCTGCAGTTGAGCGATGGAGATCCCATTGGGAAGGGGCTTTTCAGGTGGCGCGAACCCGCACTGAGGACACTGAGATAGGGTTGTGATCATAGTCATAGTTTGGTAGTCTGAGTCAATGAAGCTGAAGAATATCCACGTTAGACGTAGCGTAGAAAAAACCCAGTCAAAGGCACCTTTTGGGCCGTCCTCTTGTGATATTATTATCTGGAAATACATGATATGCCAAACACGTGGACTTCGGGGCAGGTCGCCTGAGTTCAGAAACAGCATTCGCATTCACCATCTTCTTGCGGATCGACGTGTTTTGGAATGTCTTGATTTTGGCCAAGACTTTGGCAATAGCGCTAGACTGTCCAACCGACGTCTGTGGGACTCTCGAAGCACCTGGGTTGCAAATAGATACTCCGTGGCCGGTGGGGGTTTTCGTTCATTTTGTTTCCACAGCAACTGACTCATATAACCACAGGGCATCTTACTGTATCCCACGACGTGCATCGTGCACACCTGCTTGCACCCAACCCCTAATACCGACACGCCGGGCTCCCTTCTAACGCTCACCGCTCAAGCATCCATTTTGCTACAACAAGTAACGTACTTGGTGCGCCAGTCCAATCTGGGTAAGTCACACATACAACTCTTTTTAGCTGATAACTTAAACCTTGTTTTCGTAACCCCACTGCGATCCGCCTCGGGCTTCTGGTTCTTAATATATTCTCCCGCGAGAGTCCTTTGATGAGTGAGTATTAGTCGCTCGCGCTCAGTGAGTACCCCCCTTTTACTTATGCTTTGTTACAGCAGGATATCAGCTCTCAACTCTTCAAGATGCGATACCCTGTGACTTTCGATACCTGATGCACGCATTCAGCTCTTATGTTGATTGTTGTATTCTTTCTTTTTATTTCCTTGTTTTCGGGATTGTTCTTATATACTGTCTTTTTGTCATCACACACGCACTAGACCTTAGACGTATCGCTATTGTTCCTCTTGTTCTTCTACCTAACCCCAAAGTAACGTACATTGCAGCCGCTTTTTGCTGTGTAAACTAGTATATCATTATCTACTGCTAATCGCCATAGAGTTAATTGTCTTACTGTATAGATTTATCATGTCCGCGCATCACTATTAATCAGGGAGAGTAAATCCTAGATAACATTAACATCTCGTATAATAACAATTAATAAAACATTTAGAAAGGAGTTGAGATGAGATATCCCATAACACCACACAAATGTCAGAGCAGAAGTCAATGTTAACAGCAGCAAGGTGCAAGGTTCTTCTTCTCTGACAATGCTCATCTAAGGCCCAAAACACTCACAACTCAGCCTCCTCCCCCCTCTGCAAATATGCACCTCCAGCCCTCCCTTCTCTCAGTGCCTTGAGCATACAGAGGTCCCCAACATCAAGATAATCATAATCTACCACTCTTGACCACAAAAACTTTCTTGACCATGCTACTCCTCCTCCAGCATGACACTGTGATGTGACCATCTCCACCAATGCTGTGCCACCCCCTGCCTCCACACATGGCCCTCACAGCATCAGCACCTCAAGCTTCAGGAGAAGCATGCACCCCCCCCTCACCCCTGCCTCAAATGGTAAGTGTCATGAGCATATCCCAGGATATGCACTCTGCCCAGCCTGTGGACAATGATGCCTCCTCATGCACCACCAGCTCAGACACCCCTGCAAATGTGGAGAGTGCCAGGCAGTGGTGGTGGTGTTGGACCAGAGGAGAGTGAGCAAGAGAGAGTGTGTGTGAAGAGCAGAAGCATGGAGTGGGGTGGTGAACAGCACAGGGAGATTGATGTTGGGGAGCATGAGTGCAAGGGCAGTAAGATGGGGGAGAGTGATCATGTGGCCTGGTGGAGGAGGTAGATATATGTGCTGCTTGGCTGCTGGGGGGAGGCAGGTGTGCATAGCATCATGGATGCCAATGGTGCACCATATGAGGAGAGGGCACAGTGTAAGGAGCATGAGGCAGATGGAGATATGGCTGAGGTTGTAGAGTGTGAGCTCAGTGAGGTGCTCCCAGTGGATGTGGTAAGGGTCATCAAGGTATTTGAAGATGTTGATGCAGGTGATGATGAGTCTGGAGAAGCTTAGTGCAGAGATGAGATACTGGAGGATGCTGCTGAGTTCATGCATGATGGTGGTTGGGGCAATGATGAAATAGAATAGATGTATAGGGTGCAGAGCCTGCAGCACAATGTTGTTGTGTTCCATGAGAGTGCAGAGCACCTCATTATGGCAGTGGTGGAGAGAGATGTGTTGCCACCTGTGTATATCACATAGCAACCTTTGGAGGAACTTGCTGGTCAGGATGCAGTCTGATGCACATTTGCCATTCTGTCTGAGAGAGAACATCAGAGAGATGCTTTTAGAGCATCTGAGCTATGAATGTGCTTAGGGTAGAGGTGGGTAGGATATCCTGCAGTAGATATTGATGGATAGATGTGCCCAGAGTTGGGGGGTGTGAAGAGCTCACTACTGCCAGGTTCAGCAGACAAGTAAGAGGAGCTGAGATGCATCACATGTGGATGGAGGCAGAGGGATGAGATATGAGATATGATAATATATGTAATGTGTGACTTCTTTAAGGTTCAGCAAGCAGTAGATGAAAATCTCCTATCATATTTCTGAAGATAGATGTTGTCCTCTCATAGTATCCAAGACATATATGACTAAGGAAAATAAATAATCGCTGAGAATACTGGAGAAAAAAAAGAGCTCACCTTAATAAAAAAGAACAGAGTCACAGAAAAGATACAGGGAGTATTTATGAAGGATCCACAATGTCATCTATGCTGATTCATATAGATCTCCAATAGAGGCACTTGGAGCCAAATTTTCAGAACAGTCTCAGTGTATATGTTACGCGCATGCCGCCGGCCTCCGTGTCACCTCAACCAACTGTGAATCCAATCACACCACCCACCAGACTCCGACCGCTTCCCATTACCTACTAATTTCATTTCACCAGTATCATTTCACATCCATATTTCACATTGTAATATCTAGACCCCGAACTCGGTAACGAATACCGACACTGGAACCCAATGGAACCCGACTCGGAATTAGCTACCATTAGTATATAAAGCCATGTACATCATCGTAGCTACTCAGTTCGAATATCAACTTGGATAAGCCATCTACACTGCATACTCACTCCTCCCTATCTCATCTGTCGGATTCCGCTCCGAAGGATACTCCTGTTCACTTCTCTGACAGAACTCTGTTCTGTCCATCCAGATCCTTGGGCTCCGACTCAAGGGTGGCGTTGCCAATAGCTTCGTCAACGCCCACGCACTCTGCCGGACTCCGTGTGTGCACTCAAGCCCACTCGATTGGCATGTTCCTAACAGTATATTCGAACTCAAACCCTTGAGTCGAAAATTTTATCATGTCCACCACATTTACCGAACCCACAGAGACCGATCCTGAACAAAGGCAGCCCACCCATTCAAACATGTTTTCCATGGAAGACATCCTGGCATCTGCCTCAAAGGAACAACCAGGCCTGTTCGGATCAGCCTCCAGTGGGGGACAACCTTCCCGTAGGGAAACCTACAATCACTCTAGCTTCACTGCCCGCCAACCTAATTACGATGATTCCCCTAACCCTTTCAACGCCACCAGCATCCCAACCAATGGGGCCCGACGGGCCAGCCTGATGTATGGTGCCCGAACCAACCCCCCAATAGACCCCTTATCCCTGGGCAACAACCATGGGAATCCAGACAGCCCAGACTCAGAGGGCAGAGATGAAGACACCCCTACTCATACTCCCATCCGACGGGAACCGGCTGGCAATCCACCAAACCCTTTCCCAGGTGGACCAGGAGGACCAGGTGGTCCCAATGGCCCAGGCAGCGCCGATGGCCCCACAGGAAGTAACAATCCAAACCAGCAGGACATGTTCCTAGAATTTATGAACCTGTTACGAGGAGTCTCCGCCTCCCTCAACAACCCTAAACCAGCCACTGTCCGTACCAAGGTCAAGGAACCAGAACTATTTGATGGCTCTGACCCTCGCAAACTAAAGGCTTTCATTGTCTCCCTTCAGTTGAACTTCAACGACAGATCTACCGTGTTTGCAACAGATGCTAACAAGGTTAACTACGCCATTTCATTCCTGGCCGGCACCGCGCTCAACTGGTTCGAACCAGACATTCTTAACCCCAATCCGCGGAATCCACCAGCCTGGCAATTCTCCTACGCAGCCTTCTTAGATGAGCTTCGTAGCAACTTTGGCCCTTTTGATGCTATCGGAGATGCTGAAGATGCATTAGAACACCTACGGATGCACGATGGTGATCGGGTCATGAAGTATATGGTCCAATTCAACCAGTATGCTTCACAAATTGGGTACGGAGATAACTCTCTCTGCCATGCCTTTTACCGTGGCCTCTGCACCCGTATCAAGGATGACATGGCACACCATGGGAAGCCAAACAACCTTCGTGATATGCGCTTCCTTGCCTAAGAACTTGATGCTCGCTACTGGACCTGGAAGACCGAAATTGCCCGTGAAAACTGGGACAATAAATTCCCCAACCCCAAATCCAAGGGGTCTAACACATCTCCCTTGGACTCCAGCTCCACACCGAAATCTACCGCCCCTAAGCCCTATGCCGACAAGCTAGGCAAAGATGGCCGTCTTACCCAGGAAGAAAAAGACCGCCGGCGCCAGAACAACCTTTGCATGTTCTGTGGAGCGAAACACAAGACCGAGGACTGCAACAAGCAGAAAGCAGCAGCCTCCACCAAGGGGCGTGCAGCAGAGGTCGACACCGCTCCTGTGGAACCGGCTCCGATGGAGTCGGAAAACTAGGAAGCAACCCTGTTCCCTCCGTGCGAGTTCAGGGTTGCGTCGACTGTATTCGCACACCGGAGGTCATCACTCTCAATGCAACATCCCTTTCCAATCACTCCTTCCACATTCCCCTCTCAGCAGAATTGCCGACTACTACGGAACCCAATGGTTCCCCAACTTGTATCATCCTACGTTTTCTTGCCCTTATTGATTCTGGCTCTAGCCACTGCTTTGTTGACACTAAGTATGTAACTGCCAATGAAATCCCCATTAAAACCATCCCTAGTGTGCAACTTCGATTATTTGATGGCTCCATCGGGAGCTGTATATCTCAAATAGCAACCATCCCTATCTGTTTCCCATCCGGAGACACCTTCCCCATTGACTTCTATGTCACTCCTCTGGATTCGTCTTGCAATCTTGTTCTAGGATACAACTGGCTCTCCCGCTACAATCCACTGATTGACTGGGCTGAGAACAGTATCATTTTCCGTTCAAGCTACCAGGACCCCACTCCAACCAATTCCGCGGCCTCCACCGCATCTCAGGGACTTCCGTGCCCACAGGACAACAGTCCATTTTTTTCCGAGCCTTTCAGCTCAATTTCGAGACTTCCGTGCCCATCGGACTCTATCAGTCCAACTTCCGGGGCTTCACCCCATTCCAAGTCCACATCAGGTAACCGGTGGACTTCATTCCCATATGAACCCATCTACTCCTATCCTCCCTCAGAATCTTTTACTATGAAAGCACACCCAAAGATCTCCATCATATCCGCTGCCGCATTCATCCGAGCCAGTGCAGAAGAAGGCGCCCAGCAGTTCACACTGCAGCCTTCTTTGTCTAATATTGGAGCCAAAGCTGCATCCGCGGAACCGGCAGATCTTTCATCAGTGCCAGTAGAGTACCACGATTTTGCAGATGTCTTCAGTGATACCCTCTCTGAAAAACTACCTGAACACAGACTGTATGACCTCAAAATCAACCTTGAGGAAGGGACATCCCCACCACTTGGACCCATTTATTCTCTCTCAGAATCTGAACTCAAAGCTCTATGAGAGTTTATTGATGATAATCTGCACAATGGGTTCATTACTCCATCCCGCTCTCCACACGGGGCTCCAGTTCTATTCATCAAGAAAAAGACCGGTGAACTCCGACTTTGCGTCGACTACCGTGGCCTAAACAAAATCTCCAAGAAAGATCGCTACCCTCTCCCCCTCATTTCTGATCTCCTCGACTCTGCCCACTCTGTGCGCATCTACACCAAGCTCGACCTTCGGCATGCCTACCATCTCGTTCGCATAGCTAAAGGGGACGAATGGAAAACAGCGTTCCGGACCCATTACGGTTCCTTCGAATGGCATGTCATGCCCTTTGGCCTCACAAATGCTCCAGCGGCATTCCAACGATTTGTGAACGATATATTCTCAGACATGCTCGACATATCAGTAGTAGTCTACCTCGATGACATCCTCATATATTCTGACAACCCAGAAGATCACCAGAAACATGTTCGTGAGATCCTACGCAGGCTTAGAGCTAATGGACTCTACTGCAAAGGTTCCAAATGCGAATTCAACCGGGACTCCGTGGAGTACCTAGGCTATATCCTATCACCTGAAGGACTTCGCATGTCTGAAGAAAAAGTCAAGGCGATTGTTGACTGGCC